GCTAGAACTTTTCAGTGTCAACTGCTTTGTGACCCAATATATTATTCTATATGGGAAATATTTGTTTGGTATTCTTCATTTCTGGTCCTCATCATGCTTTCCGAATTAAAGATGAGTATCAAGGTACTACTGTACCTACAACCCAGTTCCAAAGTTCTGATAGCCATCCCTCCACCCCAATGTGGCTGCATTTTGGTGATTAAGAGCTGCAGTGTTCGCTTTAATGATCACCATGAAAAAAGAAAAGATCATAAAATGGAGTAAGTCAGGTGGTAACCTGCTTTACAACCATAACGACTTACAATATTATGGTCATAAGTCAAAGATTACCTGTGTGTGTACATACTAGTTTTTTCCCTATACTCCAATTAAAAAAGATTTTTCCCCCCTAAGGGAATCCCAAAGGTGCTTTTTCCGGAGGCAACTGGACTTTCTTGATTTTTTCTCTGAAGACATTTCAGTTCTCATCCAAGAAGCTTCTTCAGCTCTGAAGGGTAGTGGGGAATGTAAGGATTTACACCCCTTGCAGACATCTGGATCTAAATCCTTCCATTCCCCACTATCCTGTCGATTCCTACTGGAATTATCTGTGAGTAGATTCACTTGGTGGAACTTGCTTCCAAAGAAATGGATAAACCCATACAATATTTGGCTTGCAAATTCATCCTTCATCAAGTTTATACTCTAATCATTTTGTCTTACAAGACCTCTAATGCTGTGTAAAGTAACAAGAGAAATTTTGTGCGCCTTCCAAAAAAGAGCTGAGGAAGCTTCTTGGATGAGAAGCAAAACACCTTCTAAAGAAAAAAAAACCAGAAAGTCCAGTTGACTCATGGAAAAAAAGCACCTTTGGGACAATTGTGACCTGGAGGACTGAGAATCTCCACAGACAAAATAAACTTTAAGTCCCTTCCTTCTGCAGGCAGAACAGATGAGAGAGGCCACACTGTGCTTCATGTGTGGAAAAGAAATGTGCAGAGGCGAGCAATCTGCCTGCCCCCCCTCCCCAAATATTCGTGGTGGGGGGAAAGAGGTGGCCAGACATACACTCTCCCTGCAGCTTGGAAACCTTGAGCTGTCCTCAGCCTTCCAAGCAGGGATTTGTAATGCTTGGCATCGGTGAAGCCCACAGCGGCGGCTTCTATTCGCCTAGCGCTGAGCAGGCCCCGCTGAAAAAGG